GTGCTGCACTTCGGGGGTGCCCCCCCCCGCCCCGTTTCGGCTCTCGGTCCCCATCCTCTGGGGGGCCGGTGGTTTCCTCCAGCCCTGCCAGAGCAGGAGGGGGGCCGGGGGATCTTGCTCAGCGCAGAGCCTTTGTGATCCCGAACTCGGCCCCTGACGCGGAACATTGTGCCGCCGGGGAAGACTTCTGTGTGTCTTGTGGCTTTGCTCTGTCTCAGGGACAGAGGATTTGTGCCTGGCCATGCTCACTGGTGTTGAGTATTGAAAATCTTCACTGGATCTCTCTCCCACATTTCTCCTTCCAAAGAGACGGCACACAGCTCTTGATCTGATCTCCCGTTTTGTTTCCTGCTGGCACATTCCCTGTAGCTGTGCTCTCCCGCTGAGTTTTTCTGGGACACTTCTGACAGAGGCACAGGGAGATGTATCTGTCTTGGGGCCAGGGGCAGGTGTTGGGTGATGCGGGTGTACAGGGAAGGATTGCGATGCCTTCTTGAGCAGCAGTGCACATTCCTTTCTCCTGGGTACAGCCTGTAACTGCACTGCCTCCCCCTGCAAGAAAGGCTTTGATATGTACAAGAAAATATTTTCAAATGCTGAAGTCCCCCAGCTTTGTCCCTCTGGTTTCATTTCACCCTTAAGTAGCACTGTTAACAGGTTTTTTTCTTCCCTCCCCGCTATCCTTTAAGGCGCAGAGGCTGCTGGCGCACCGGAGACCAAAGAAATCCTTCTTTGAGACGCTCATCAGGAGCCTGATCATCTTGTGCGTGGCCATAGCAGTGGTCTTGTCGTCCATCTCCATCTGCGATGGCCGCTGGCTCTTCGCGAGGGGGCAGCTCTTTGGACTGTGGCACTTCTGCACCGTTAGCAACAGCAGCGTCCTGAAGTGCGTCACTGACCTCAGCCTGGCCAGGGTGGAGGGGCTGAGCGTGGGGGTGATCCCCATCAGGAGCATGGTGTCCTTCGCCGTTGTGGTTGCCATATTTGGCCTGGAGCTGCTGATGGTGTCCCAAGTCTGCGAGGACGCCAACGCGAGGCGGAAGTGGTCGATGGGCTCCGTTCTCATCCTCGGCTCGTTTTTGCTGTCAGCCACTGGGGTTCTGAGCTTCTCCATCCTTGTGAAGGATCACCTCACCTTCACAGGCTTCACGCTGACATATTGGTGTGAGTTCATTGCTGCCTTTCTCTTCTTCCTCAATGGGATCAGTGGACTTCACATCAACAGCCTCACGCACCCCAGGAACAGCATAGGCAAAATCTAGGTGGAAAGGGTGCACCTCTGCCTTTGTGTAATCAGCTTTGCCAATTAAGACTGGAAAAAAGGGAGTCTAAAGAAGTTTGAAAAGGACATTGTCTTAAATTGTGTGCAAGGAGGAGAAGCCTGAGTCCATCTTGATGCCTGTAGAAGACATACCCACCCACTGGTCAGCATGGAGGGCTGTGCAACATGAGCAAAGCAGAGGCTGGGACCAGCTGCTGCGGCAATGCGGGTTTCTGGAGGAGTCGATTAAAGAAGAGGGCATCATATTAAACGTGTGAAGGGGTGGCAGTCTGCAGTCTACACACGTGGGCTGGTTCAAGGCTCACACAAAGCCTGTACTGCTATGGGTTTGGTGTTGGTATGTTTTCCCCTGTACTCTGGAGCCTGTGAAGAATGTGACACAACTTTGGTGTGTCTTGTGGCTTTGCTCTGTCTCAGGGACAGAGGATTTGTGCCTGGCCATGCTCACTGGTGTTGAGTATTGAAAATCTTCACTGGATCTCACTCCTCCATTTCTCTTTCCAGAGAGACGGCACACAGCTCTTGATCTGATCTCCCGTTTTGTTTCCTGCTGGCACATTCCCTGTAGCTGTGCTCTCCTCTGAGTTTTTCTGGGACACTTCTGACAGAGGCACAGGGAGATGTATCTGTCTTGGGGCCAGGGGCAGGTGTTGGGTGATGCGGGTGTACAGGGAAGGATTGTGATGCCTTCCTTGGGCAGCAGTGTATGTTCCTGTGCTTGCTGCCTCTCCCCACTGTCACCACTCCTCATGTCCCCACTGGGCATGTGCCAATCAGTCACCAAAAATGGCTTCCACACAGCCCTTGCAAGGCTCACTGTAATGGGGTGTTGCTCTTCCTGGTTTCTTTTATGTCCCTTTGGGGCAAGAGGGACAAAGTCTGCAGGGGCTTTACGTGGGTGCTGTAGCTGGGCACACCATGCTGAGACCACCACACCTCCCGGGGTGTGCTTTGGTTGTCAGGGTTTCCCACTGGGGCAATGGGAAATCTGCTCATCCTGTAGCAGAGAGTCTCCTATAGCCTTTCTTCCGGAAGGAGAAAGCTCTAGATCCTCCTCATCAGACCAAGTCCTTTTCTTCCCCTGATTAACATCAGGCCTGGGAGGAGAAGCTGCCTGTGATGGCCTAAGGAGAGGCTGATGGGGGCACCTTTAATTTGTCACAGCTGGTAGAAACAGAAAGAGTGGCCAAAATTATATTAAGGCTGGTCTTCCTCCTGCCAATGCCTGAGTCAAGATCTCTAAAACTGCTGCAGCTTTGAAGTTCCCCATGGTGTCTGATGTAAAAGGAGAGACCTCAGCAGGAGACCTCAGGGGTTGGTTGCCCTACATGTGTCCTCCCTGTCCAACATCCTGGTTGCCCACAGATAAAAATGTCTTTAAGAGTATTTCAGGGTTTCTGGTTTAATGTTTGTTTTGTATGTGCTGGTAAAGCTGCCTGTTTTTTTGTTTTAGGACAAATGGTTCTATGTGTTTCATCTCTGTAGCTTGTCTGATAGCTGTTGAGCAAGGTTTTTATTTCCTGTGCAGCAAGTTTGACACAATTTTTCAACTGAAACAAAAGCATCGGAGCACAAAGACTGAGAAGGCTGTGTAGGCGAGCCATGAGTAAACAGCTTTGTCTTTGAAAGCTAAGACTCTGAAGTCCTGCCTGAGCACACATACACACTTGCTGAATGTGCTCCTGTGGATTCACTTGCCTTCATGAGGACAGTCTCCATTCCTTTTCAGATTTCCCTAACTTTTTAAGACAAGACTCCTAAGCCTGTTTTGTGATGCAGTTTCAGACTATGGACTGTTGTGATTTTGCACCTGAATCTCTGCGTCTTTCTGGCCAGATAACACACCGAGCTGTGGTACCCAGACAACTCCCAAAGTCCTTGCAATATCTGGGGCTCTGTCAGGGTTTCTTGACCTGCTCTCAAGGACAAGGATTTGTGCCCTTAACCTGCCTCGGCACTGTGATTGTGTCTCTCTCTCTTTGTCAAGGTGCTTTTGATTTCATGAATTGCTCTGTTGAAGACGTTCTAGGGGGCTGAACTTGCAGCCACTTGCGTGAACAGTGCTGTTGCCTTCTGCAGAGCCACGTACCCCAGAGAGAGTCTGCAAGGTCTGGTCCCAAACTATTGCACTTTGGTGTTACCAGGTGGTAGAGTGCCTTAACTAACCAATATACCAGGGGTGCCTGTGCCAGGGAGGACAGTTCCCTTAAACAAGGTTAAGGGTGTCCATGGCTTATTTAGATACATGGATGTAACTTCAGAGTGCCTTCTTGATGACATCCAAAACTGGAAATCAATTCTGCATGTACTCCTGTTCATGCTAGTGGGAGGCTGTGCCCCAGCCCCTTCAGTTGGGGAAGGCAACTGTAGCCAGACTGAGTCCCAGGCTGGTGCCTCCCACTTGGGTTAGAGGGAGGCAGTGGACAATTGGCCACTGAGTTCACCCAAGACTTGTGTAATTGTGAATGATTTTAGGATGCCTTCTGCTAGCTGAAGAAGCCACCTTTTGTTGGGGGTAGGGAATCCTTTAGGGAAAATACGGTAACTTTTTCCAACTGCCTTTGTATAGTACTGCTTGACTTACTAATGCTGGGAGAAGATGTGTTTTGATGGCTAAATATACAAAACAGTTGATTCTCAGAGACGTCCTTATTATACAGCAATTGTATAATTATAACAATTGTATAACTGTGCAGCAATTGGTAACTTCATTTTCTGAAGCCTGTGAAAGTGTCAAGCAATATTCCTGGAGTTTGTTAAATAAATTTCTTTGAAATAACTGTAATTGTCTCTTTTTATATTTAGATATTGGGGTGCGGATTTAAGGGGATGTGTGGGGTTTACATAATCTTGCAGCATTCTGTGTGTTTACCCAGCTAGACTGATGAAGAAATGACAGCTTGGTGCTTTGCCAAGGTCTAGCCAAGGAAGCTGAGGCTACAGCTGCTGCACACTCCCCCCTCTGCTTTCCCCTCCAACGTATGCACATCAACCCAAGCAGCCAGCCCTGCTTTCTTGTCTTGCAAAACAAGAGGGTCAGTCAGCTGTGCTGCTTCGTGGGAATTGGAGATAACCTTGTAGTCTCTTAATGATTTCCTGCTGTTGCATGTGCTGTGTTTACCAGCTAAAGAGCTTTTTCCTGTGTCCTTCACCTCCCTTTTCCCACACCGCACCCTGTGTCTGAAGCATCCTTGCTTTTTTTCCGCAGCTCTGCTTGTTTGGCCTGCAGAAGTGGTGTCTGAGTACAAATGTATTTATAGAGGGTTTTTTCGAGCTCACTCTACTAACAGGTTTAGTTAAATGTCAGGAAAACAGATTTCCAGTTTCAACACTGAGTTAGTTTATGTAATTTCAAGTAAGTTAATTAGCGCCTGGTGTTCTCTTTCTGATGGGAGAGGTCCCTGGCCTGTTTGAGATGGTTTAGTATCTCTTAAAAGCAGGGTAATGAACATCACCTCTTGCTAAAGAGCTATTTAGACTTGCTCAGTTACTAACTTTAATTGGACACTTGTGCACAAACCAGTGCTTGTGGACAAGAATAAGGAAATAACGGTACAGGACATGCCAGCTAGGGAGGTATCCTGGACTGTTACTGGTATTTCGATTTTAAGTACCTTCATCAGCTGTGCTTGGAGGGACACCTGGTTTGGGGGTTGAGCTTCGCTTGCTTTTGTGAGTCAGGAAGGTGATTACAGGAACATGAGTGTCCTCACCTGCCTTCTCTTTGGCACTGCTGGGGCCTATGGTAAGCAGGTAATGGCATTTCTAAACCTTCCCAGCAGCTTGCACATGTAAGAAGGGTCTCATTTCTAGGTAAAAGAAAGGTCTGCCCTGGGGGGATGTCCTGGAAGGGGTGTTGGCTGGATTCCTGGGGCCTCTCACCTTCACATGGATCCAACCCTTCTAAACTGACACCACCCGGTTCTGAAACACTTCATTTCAGCTCCCCAGTGAGGCGTTGAACAAAGTAATTATTCACAGCACCACAATACTGCTTTTTGCTTCTCAAGGTTTTGCTGGGAACTTCCTTGTTGCTGTGTTGAGAGACACAGCGGATGTCCAGGCTGCTGGAGCTGCTGCTGGCACCACTGGCTTGCAGAGCTGCAACTGGCTTCTCAGGGGACCTGGAGTGAATAGCCAGAGGCTGTCACCAGTGTCCCAGAATAATCATAACTACTTGGCTGAAAGATGGTACTCAAGCCCTATGTACTGATCACAAATGTCTGCTTTACACTGAATACCGAGGAGCAAGTATAGAGAAAGGGAAGTTGGTGAACTCAGAATATGGAGTTTGTGTTCAGCCAGTGTCAGTAGTTTTAGGCCACTGACGCCAGCATGCCTTGCACTCAATCATCTGCTTTTTGCATTGCTCACTGAGATTTACTTCCCTGTTCCTCTTCATCTGCTTATAAACATGTCAGCATAAATAGCTCTTTTCTTTAATATTCTTCAGTACACTTAATCAAGAGATCCCCAGCAGGGAAGGGTGCTTTTGCATCACCTGTGCAGAAGATGGGGAGGTGAGAACCCATCCTGCTATGCTGGTGTTTGGCAGCAGCTTTCTACGTGCAGGTCACAGCACTGTGATGCCTGGAACTGTCTGCTTCTGGCACCTGCCCAAGTGGACTTGCTCTTCCCAAAGAGCCAAGGACTCTGAATCCCAGCTGACATCCAAGGGTTTTTATGGAGCCTCAGTTTTTCATCCAAACCAGGCCAGTGCTCGATGCCTGAAGAAAACATGTAATACAAAATCTGGAAATATTTTCTTCCTGTGGTTATTTCAGGCAAGTCAAAACCAAAATGGCCACGTAAAACAATAATTCATGCTAGAACTTTTTTTAAAATACAAAACCCAAGCAGCATTTTATTTCAGAGCATGCGATTTGCCCCTGTTTCACCAGGACTCCTGTACCCTGGTATCATGCCCAGATATCCTGTACGGGTACCATGCCCAGCCTGGGCTCCACCTGATCTTGTGCCATCAGTGCTAGTCCTAACTACGCACTGCAGGGCTGAGCTCTTACCCTGGCTTGTGGGAGGGCCAATAATTGCATCACATCTAACTAATTACATGTTATTGAACCTCTGAATCTATATTTCTTCTTTTATGCTGTAAGAAGGCACTTGCATTTAAAACAAACAGCTGCTTTGACTTGACTGATAAATGTTTAATTCTTGGACAGGGAATATACAAGTTGTTTCACTCTTGGTCTTACTTGTAGGCTGGTGAGAAAATTAGGCTAATGGCTGTGTCTTTTTGAAAATACCTGACTTGCTAAACTTGCTGGGACATAGTGAACCCCTAAGAAAGTTTGAGACTCTGTTTGGCTTGGGTAAGTCACCCGATGATGTGTGGAGGGGCTTTCACTTCTCCCTCGGTCACAGGACTGATCCTGCTTCTGCTTTTCCTTCCACTTGCTTTGGCTGAGTCTTAAAGGATAAAATCGTCTCAAAACCTTGCCATTTCTAAAAACGTAAATTTAACATTAATTCCTGGAAATGCTTACCATTTTACTGCTTTATATTTGATTTTTTTCCCTGGTTTTAAAGAGGTTCAACTCCCACTGCTGGGTGACTTGCACCAGCAGGCAAAGCCAAACAGGCAGGGGAGGCCAGAGTGAATGTGAAACCCTCCCTCCTGCCAAGGCATCCTTCCTCACCTGGCACCATCAGTGGTGCCGCTGCCTGCAATGCCTGCTTTGCCAGGGAGCATACAGTCTGTGAGGTCTAACTGTCAGCACCGACGGTGAAAAAAGACGATTTTCTTGAATCTCGGGGTTTGAAACAGTGTTAATAGCACTCAGAAACCTGCTTCTGCACAGGTAATTTAACTTCGAAAGCATCCTTTGAATTTTTCTGCATGTTTGCCCTCTGGTAAAATGGCAGAAGTCTACCATGATGTTTTGGTGTGAATAAAAGCTTGTTAGAGCAGTTTTGGCAGAGTTGGGGAATGCTGCTCGGTCAGTATTTGACATGCCATGCACGTTTTGCCTATGTCTTGTAGGTGATTGGGAGGTCTGAGAAGCATGATAAACGCCACTTGATTTCTTTCTGTTTAGGCATCTTTGCCCTTGAAGAAAATTAGGCATTGCCCCAACTGGGGAAATGCAGATACAAAATCAAGCAGGAGGCTTGATTGCATTTGTTGGGTGAATTATTTTTTCCCTTTCACACTCAAACCAGGGAAATTTGCTTAACAATTAAGAACATAAAGCTGTGATAGAAGCTTAGATACCTTGTGACAGCATATTACAGTGCACAGTCTTGCAGATTTCAGCACATTTCAGAGTGATTGTAGACTCTAAAACGATTTTTGCCAGTCACTATGGTGGTATTTTTCACAAGGTATCTTGTAGCGTCCAGTTCAATTAAGTTTTACATGTCTCAAGGGCTTTCATTGCTTCCCTTCAAAGAGTAGCTGGACAAGTCTCAGAGGTACAGACACGAAAGGAAAGAGCCATCTTACTAAAGTTTTCTTAGCCACCCTTGGAATATGCTATAATAGCTTTTTTACCATTTCAAGATACAAAGATCCAAATTGGACTACTGTTATTTCCGAGGTCTTCACTGTTAGAAGAGGCAAAGGTAGAAAACTGTCTGAACCTGCCACTGTCACTGGAGCATACCTGAGCAGTGGATATGCAGTCAGAGAGGAAACAGGAGCTCAGCTGTGCTTTGTGTTCTCAGTGTCCATTATCCAGAAAGACTTTGAATCTAGGTAAATTTTTAGGATTACTTTTGCATTTCAAACCTATGGGCTGTGTTAAAGGATGGCATGTAACTTCCATTGTACAAAATTCTGCTTCAACAGCAGAAGAAATAGAGAGCATCTAAAACTCACCAGCCTGCCTTAGCCTGGACCATGTTGCAGAGCCACATGGAAAATGAAAGGTCACATTTAAGGTAGAAACAGCAGCTGAAAAATATTGGTGTGGAAACATAAATGACTGTGGCCAGAAACCCAAGGAAGAGCATAATGTTTTGGCCCATTTTGCCTTGCAAAATAACTCTGGTGCTACACAGGATATAAATGAACAGATGTGCTTCAAGAACTGTTGATCTACAGCCAAGTCCTGCTTCCAGACACATACACAAGACTCCCAGCACGGTCCATGGGACTTAGCCATGTGTATCTGAGCATAGAGGTATCCTCCAGGCATAGAGTATTAAAGCACGCTTGATCTTTGGAGGGTTGTTCTCCTGTGCTCTGGTGGGCTCGACCTCACCATCTGCATCTCTTGAGTTAAGCCACTTCCTCCATTACTCGCTGAGGTGCTGAGATGCTGACGCAAGTGTTTACTTAAATGCCACTGTCTCCATTTTCTCTGAGCTTCCAGCTGAACCTAGGTAGAAAGGTCACAAAATACTTAGTTCACCTAGTTTATCTTGGAGCCTGCATTGCGGAGAGCAGTATAACAGGAAAAGGAGAACAGATTACCTTTGCCAAGGTTTGAATTTATTTATTTAACCCCCAGTTTAAGGGGTTAGGGTAGAGCCTGTTTCTTGTCACTTCTAGTGACACTGTTTTTGCAGCCACACAATCTTCTCTTAAACTTTCTGTTTAATTGCAGGTGAAACTGTTCACAGAGTCTATCTGGCCTTAGTAACTGTGTTTGGTTTGTTCCAAGATTCTTATTTAAGTTATAAAAATGGGACGTTTTGGCACTCAAAGCTAAAAAAATGCAGATTTTCTTATCAAAACAACTTTTTCTAAACCATATTAAAGGATCAGTCAAAGTATTTCAAACCTCTCATCTATTTCAAAATTACTTTTTC